GGAGGCGGTGGGTGTAGGTGAGCTGACTCTGGGGCTTGGAGAAGATACTGGTGTGCTATACAAGGCGGGCATTTTGGACATATCCTAGAGAGGGATGTAGGGATCCCAGTTCTTGATACCGGGCAGCAGAAGAATTGAGGTGAATATAATGGAAAGTAAATCTTTGGTTTTAAAGTCTTCATCAGTGGCTTTGAGTGTCCTCATCCCTGCCTTTTCAAAATGATGCCCTGGTTGTTTTCTTGACGTGGTATGGTTGAACAAGGAGCACAAAGGGACTCCTGGAACTGACCTCTGCTCCCTTGCCGCACGGGAATGGGTTTTATTCCTAACTTGCTCTGGGGCAAAACACTCCGTGATAAAGGTTATTCTTTATTTATTTCGGCACAGCATATAGTGAAACACTGAAAGGTATTTCTTTCTTCCAAGCATGTTTACACATGTCCCTCTTCATTATAGCATCTAAAGAAACAGCAGAGGTACAAACCCAATTGTTTTCCATTTCTCTTGCTAACATTATGCTGCTGCAGCATTAAAACATCGCTACCAGATTGGGTCTCATTAAGTTAGGTGCTGCACAGAGACATAATAAATTGCAGCTCCTGTTCCAGAGCCTTATAAAGGCTCAGAAGTCAGGGGAGTCATTGTTCTTCCAGCCTCGATTCAAACTGTTGAAAAAGAACAGCAGCTTACAATCTCTGCAAAAATCTGTTTATCTGGTAAATACGTGGGTGGTTATTGGCAATTTTACCAATGATCATCTTCAGGCTAATTATCTTAATACATCTTGATCAGGTAGCGTTTAGCCCTGAGAAAATGTCATCTTGCATAGCACAGCTTCAGGAGATTTTGGAAAATGTATTCCAAAAGGTGGTTAACACCATTACATTAGATTTTGCTGTGAAACTTTCCCCTGTCTAGCTGCAGAGACATCTTGACACATGCAATCCTGTGCGAGAATAAATATGTGCAAAATGAGCTCAGATAGTTGCTGAAAAAAAAGAAATGTTCTTTGACTGTCAGAGCTTAATATTTTAGTCTCCCTGGAGCCTAGAGCTCTAATCCACGGACCCCCACCTGTGTGTTTGGATTCATTTTGTAAATACGCATCACCTTTAATGGGGGAATTTGGAACAAGAGGGCCTTCTCTTGTTTTCGTCTCTGCTGTAGTTAATGCAAAGGGATACTAATCCCTCCGTGCTCCCGGTTCCTGCCGGGAGCAATCCTGCTGCTGCCCGTAACCCGTGACCCTCGCTGGGAGCAGAAGCACCTCTTGGGCTCAGGGTGGTTGCTTGAAGGAGTACCCAGCCCAGCAGCCGAGCCCTGGGCTGTGTTAGTCGAGGATCAAGGCGTCTTTTGGCAGTGCCGACTGACCGCTCCGGTTTTTAGGAAGTGAGGACCGGCACCGGGCTGGCTCGCTCCTGCGATTGATGTCACGACTGCCTGCGTTCTGCCAGTGAGGGTTTGCTTCAGTATAAATACCAACCTGATCCATCTCTTGAGTGAGAACAAAGCTTTCATTCTGAGGATCTGCAGCTTAATGTTAGGCTTGTTTAAACAGCTTCTTTAAAGGGTTGGGTTTGTTTGTGGGTGGTGTGTGTGGTTGTGTGTGGTGGGGTGGTGGGAGTGTGCTGAGCAGATAGAGCAGACTCTGCTGCCAACTTCTGTAGCACCTTTCATGCAGACTCATCCCCAGGCGTTCTGTGAGAGGGGAACTCGCCGCCCCGGCTGTGTGAACTGCTCTTTTGTTTTCCCTTGCCCCATCTATTTTCTTCAGCCCAGTCAGATTATTTTATTAAGTAGATTATAAGTTTTGCTCAATAGGAGCTTTTCTTCCCAAATAAAAAGAATGCCGTTGGCATGAAAAATGCTTTTATTCACTCCTGTCTCCATTTCCTTCGCCGAGGAGTCCCCAGCTGCTCTCAGGAGCACCCAAGAGATGCCCTGCGGAGGGCTCTGCGTACCTGTCCGTTTTCTGACCCCCACCCAAGAGGAAAGAACAGTTGCTTTTTCCTGGCTTCTCGTGTTACTATATGAGAAGAATTTTCCCTTCTGGTTAATCAGACTTGAAGTGCCGCACAGGTTGCCCTGTAATTCTCCTCTCTGCCGGAAGCTCCCCGGTTCCCGGCGAGCCCCGGTGCAGACAGGCCTTTCCTCCCTGGCACGGCTGGTGCCTGCTTGCTGCAGCACTGGCAGCCGGCGGTAGGTGATGCTTAGGGCTGATATGGCTGTAGCGATGGTAGATGTATATCCTGGGCTTTTTCATAATAAAAATACAGACAGAGTTAACTCCTGGCTGCATGAGGGAGGCTGGAGCTGGGCTTCAGCTTGTACCCAGGGATCTGACCATCTTTCCTAAAATTTGAGTGCCTACCTGCAGCCCAGAGGTAATGGACTGGAATATCTAGAAAGCCCCTTGAGGGTCTCTCATGAAAGGTGTAGCAGAAGTACATATGTGTGCTGAAGGCTTAATTTTCTTTGTTCATACAGCTCTCCTTACCGTAGGGGTTTTTGAGGTGCTGACTGTAAGAATTGTTCTTAAAAAATAGCAGTTGTCTCAAAGGGGAGCATCAGCTGACAACACTAGGAGGTGAAAGGAGGCCGTGCTCTGTGGGGCATATTCCTCCTTAGCAGAAACTTCTGCTTTCTGTGCAGAACAGATAAGGATCTTCTTACTCTGTCCCTGTGCGCTGGGGCTCTGGTATCATACCTTGCAGGTAAACTGATTTCCTTTTTTTTTTAATTCTACAAATGAAACTGAGCAGATACAACCAGCTCCTCTGCTTTCCTTCTCAAAGGGATGCGTAGTCTCAGGCCAGATGCTTCCGTAAGAAGTTTACAAAACCAGTTTTATAAGTGCATTGAAGTGTTTTGTTTACTTCTGAGCTTCTGGAAGCAAAACTGCCATAGCCTAAATCTTGGATTTGAGACCTTAGAAGTGAGTCTGACAGGACTAACAGTTTTGCTGTATCTAAATCAAGTTGAAAAGAACATGATGAAATGTGTGTGGTTTAAATGTTTTTAATTTGTACCTTGAGTTTTTGATAAAGTAATAAAGGAGATGCTTTAAAGTTCTATTTCCTTTTAAGCATACTTGAAGGCAGGAATGTGCCCCGGCTGCTCCATTATAACCAACCTTTGTTCCCCAAAGTGTGCATATTTTTCAGAAGAATTGTCTTTTCTGTGCTCTGCTGACCACTGGAAAATGGTGTACTTGGAGCTGTTTGTCAAGTTGAACATTAGTGGGTTTTTTCCCTTTCATTATAGTTTCCCCTTAAAAGCTGCATAATCGATGGGTATGGTGCTCTTACCCCTTCTTAATACGGTTCAGTCTCAGGGTCTTCCCTGTCCGTTTTCTAGTCTATGTCCCTTTTCCCTGTCCTGTGCTAAGCACATAGAAATAAGCCACATTTGCTCGTGATGCTTTTTAAAGATGTCTCACTTAACAGCTCCTCTGTGGTTTATTGGCTTTTTACTGCTTCTGCAGTTTTGAATCTGTTGGTTCAAAACTCACCAGCATCTGCATTTAGCCTGTCTGAAATACTGCAGCCCACCTTTGAGCTGTTAAGCAGCTCACCACAACAGCTAGGAAATGAAGAGCACAGTGTCCAGAGAGAATTAAGTGAATAGTAATGCAATTAGCCTAACTGATTTACCTAGGACACTGGACATGAGGCATAATGGGTGTCTTCCTCCTAAATGAACCCTGAAGTTGATCAGGACTTGCTTGTTTTTCGTTAAGCTCAAGGTAACGTGCTCCCAGCAGTGTAACTCTGCTGCACTTTGGACCATGTGCTGGCTGGGAGCAAGAGGCTCTTCCAGTGCCATGAATATCCTTGAATGCTGATGCTCCTTAAACCTGCTGGCTGCCAGAGATGGTATGACCGAGGCTTGGCATTTCGCTGCCCCACGGGAAGGTGGCTGACACAGACGAGTGTTGACAGTGACTTTCGTTTGTGTCTTTAGACTGAGAGGGTACAAGCAGACATAGAGGATTTAGCTATCGGACTGGGGAGAGTTAACTGTGGCTTTTGTATCTTTTAAAACACTTCTTCAAACTCTCTCTACCTGAAAGACCATTTCTGCAGCGGGTAAGTACATGTTTCTGAATCCCTCCGGGGAGGCTGAAAGATCTGATGAAAGCTGAAGAAAATACTGCGTGCTGCTAAACAAGCCCCACCCTTCTTCTTGACATTGTTGTATTCGCTCTTTGTTCCCAAGGATGGCGATGCCTGGGGATTTGCTTACAGTTTTTCAGGCAGCTTGAGAAAAGCACAATGACAGCTGGGAGGCAGAAAAATGTGGGAATCTGCCTTGGAGTTTCTCCTTCGCTCTTTACCCAAATAATCTTCACGGCGAGCAGGCAAAAAGCCAGGGATGTATTTGACCCAAGGTAGTGTCTCAGATCAGGAAAGCAGTTACTAAATAAGTGACTGATCTAGTTGGGTGTAGCATACTTGGCTTGTGTAGTCGGTTTGAATTGGTTTTGTTTTGGCATCTGCCAACTGCTTGTTGTCTCCCACAAGCTGGGGTGGTCGTCCCTCACTAACCCGTAATGGGCAGCTCGTCTTTGGCATAGCTGAGGAAGCCTGGACAGGCAGTTCAGGTGAAACCGAGTCTGTCAGTTTGAGTAATTGTTGTTTTCAATTTGAATTCTGACCCTAGGTTGGTTTGGGAGTAGATCTTGGTAAAATCTAGCGTAGTTTGCAGGGGTGACTTGGGTCATCTGTGTTAGTGCTTGCGACAGGGGAAGGAAAAAGGGCTGCCTGGGCAGTCATCTTCTGGAAAGGCTCCTCTGCTTCCACCTTGTATTTTGTGCTTCAGTTGGGTTCTTGCGGGTCTGAAATACTGAGTATGACTTGTTCTGTTCCTAAAGGCTAATTCCTGAGCCCAAGAATGGCCCGTTCCCTCTGCAATGGGAAATTTTGAAGAAAGTTTTCTCTTGTCTGAGCATTTGGTCTCTGGTGGGTTTTAAGAAGGTGGTCTTGTTTTGATTTCTGCAGCTTTGACATGTTTGTGCTCCGACTGCAAACAAGCAAACTCCACGTGTGAAACAGACGGCGCGTGCATGGTCTCGGTCTTCAACCTGGATGGTGTTAAACATCACGTTCGGACCTGCATTCCTGTTTCCTGCTGGGAAACCCTTCTATTGTCTGAGTTCAGAAGATCTGCGTAATACTCACTGCTGCTACTCTGATTTTTGCAACAAAATTGATTTAATGGTTCCCAGTGGTGAGTAGAGAGCTGAATAAATCATCTGTTTGAAGTGGGGAGGAGGGAAGCTGTCTGTTTGGGGTTGGGAATAAGGAGCATTCAGCCCTGTTTTCACTTCTTCCCTTAGGTTGCTGTGTGAACTTGAGCACTAGGTTTATTTCCTTGATCTGTCAAGTGGAAATAATAACAAACTACTTCAAATTAAAATTAAATGTGCTTGTCCCCTGTGGCTGACAAAATGTCACCAGATGATGAGGTTGTACTTTAGGGTAGGAGAAGCTTCCAAAGTTTGGGGTTTTTTGCAGTTTTACTGCACTCAGTAGCTCCATATTATGAGGCTCCTCTCGTCTTATCAGCCCTGCTGCTGGTATCCTCACCGGCTCCTGAAAGCAGCAGCAATGTTCATCTTAAATACAAGTTTCAGTTAAATATAAGCTTCTGCTGCATGATGCTCTGTGCTTGCAGTGGCTTGAGGTCAGTGCGTGTTCCCTGGACACAGCTCCCTTTTCTGGCGCTGAGTGGTGCTGTAGCCTGCCTTTTATCGGATAGAGTAGCTTTCCTTCTTCTAGGACTGCAAATCTTTTCAGTGATGAGCCATGACTATCGAAACGTGGCAGCAGCTTCAGAGTAAAGTGTGGGGTGAAGGGGTGTCTGGATCCTGAATACGCGAAGAGGAAGCAGCCCTGCATTTGAGTGAGGGTGTGGGAAACGTCTGCTTCTTTCCAATTTCTGGGACGGAGAGGGCATGCAGTACTTCCTCATACCTCGTTACTCTCTGTTTTGGGCTGTTATTTAGTGGGTCCTATGAAGACTGCAGTATCCATTTTCCTTGGGTGCAGTGGAGAAGTCTTATCTGTTCTCAAAAAGACAGATAATTGTTGTCTTCAGGTACGAGTCATCACTGGTTGTTACAGGGAGAAGGGCAAAGAGGGAGAAATGAGTCCTTGGTGACCGGATGGTTTTTCTCTGGAGGGTAAAATGCAGGCTGTTTTAGCAAATTCAGCCCAGAACAGGCTCCTATCCTCTTTTAAATAGCAAGTGCCAATAATCCCTGATCCCACAATTGAAGCACCATCTTCTTTTGGGGGTTTTAGCTGTAGTTTGCGTGCCTGATGACTTGATCAGTCCCATGTTAACGCTGTTATTTGATGTGTCCTCTACCATCCTGGAACAGCAAGCTAAAATTGTCCAGGCTCTGAGAGGATAATTAAAACACAAGAAGAAAGTCCTTAAAGAACACTTGTGAAGGAGTGATAATTTTCTAAAAGTGTCTGGTTTTCTTCTCTCTTTCCTCTCAAGGACACCTGAAAGATAACGAACCCCCGTCGAGCTGGGGTCCTGTGGAGCTAGTGGCAGTGATTGCTGGACCTGTCTTCCTTGTGTTTGTTGTCATGATCATAGTAGTCTTTGTTTTTCATCACCACCAACGAGTCTACCACAATCGTCAGCGGCTGGACATGGAAGACCCCTCTTGTGAAATGTGCCTGTCGAAGGATAAGACCTTGCAAGATCTAGTCTACGATCTCTCCACCTCTGGCTCTGGCTCAGGTATTAAGATATGACTGGAAATGACGAATGAGAACTTGTAATTGTAATTGAGTAGTCTGTTCTGGGCTCCTGGTTGCCACAGCTCTGCATGGCTGTGAGGCCGTTGCATCGTCAGCCTCTTCAGGTTGCCCTGTCATGAGTAATGTGGAGGGCGTGTTTAAATTCAGTCATGCAGTAGATGCTGTAGCCACAGCCCTGTGTCAGTGTTCAGTGCTTAGGTGAGGTAAGAGCAATAGTTCAACTCCTCCTTAACTGCTGATTTGTGTAGCTTTCCTCCTTTTCTGCAAACGGCTACATCTATTTCAAATTTAGCCCTGGAACTGGCTTTGGGTTGGAAACAGACATTAACTGCTAACCTGTGGGTTGTTGGCTTTCAAAGGAGGATGCAGGATGTCACCTGCATCAAAGCTGGCAGGAAAATGAGAAAGAACCCAGCAGCTGAAAATTTTACAGTGTGCAAATACTGCATTTGCACAGCCCGTTTCATCCCAAAGAATCCTTGGGTCTTCCAAAGTGGACGTTGTACAGCGTTCACTTCTGTAGCACTTGAAAGAAATCATCCCCAGCATACATAGGGAAGTCATCATTTTTTTCATGACTTTGAACTATGAAAGCAGTTAGGTTAAAAAAAAATGAATTTTGTAGCAGATGGAAACCGTATAATCCACAGAGGCAGAGAATATAACAACCTGATATTTGACCAGGGAATAAACCTTTAGCACCACATCTGCTATATATAAAATGTTTTGGGATCTCTTCTGTACACGCTCTCAGCAGGTGAGCTCTGTAGCTTACGTAAGAGGTGGCAGCTATGTTAGGACTCCTTTCTTAAGAGAAGTTCTGGGGGTTTACTGCTTTTTACCAGAGTCTGTCTTCAACGAGTCCCACTCTTTGCATATTCAGGCTAAAGTTACTTTGATCTGCCACAGAGCAGCAGTTCCCCAAGTGCTTTGTGCCTAATCGCTGGCAGTTTGTAAACTGCTTCGAAGTGATATGCAGATGTTGCCCAAGCAGCCAAATGGCACGTCCTACGCAGGAGCTGCCACCATTTGCTGGATTGGGTCTTGCTTAGGCTGCTGGTTGTTATCAAATGTAGAGCATTCTAGGTTTGATGGTGCTCTGCTTGAAACTCCTGAAACCTCAGAGTCTGTTTTGCTGCAACAGGCATTCATTCCTCCAATTTCTTGTCCATAGGTTTGCCGCTTTTTGTCCAGCGGACTGTGGCTCGGACAATTGTCCTTCAGGAGATCATTGGTAAAGGCCGCTTCGGGGAAGTGTGGCGTGGCAGGTGGCGCGGAGGTGACGTAGCTGTAAAAATCTTCTCTTCACGTGAGGAGCGTTCCTGGTTTAGGGAAGCGGAAATATATCAAACCGTTATGTTGCGACATGAGAACATCCTGGGATTTATTGCGGCAGATAACAAAGGTAAAAAGTGCCTGAGTCCTGAGAGCAGAGACTTCACCAGTGTGCAGTCTGCTCTTGGGAGTTGCATTTCTTCACTTGGATTTACAATGGAATGTAAATGGTTAAAGAAAACTGTCAGCATGCTTTTCAAATAGCTACATATTTGAATGTTTCTTGCCAAAAGATGGTAAAATTACTGCTGTTGTTGAGAGGCGCGATGGTGCATTAGCTGTACCTTACAAAGTCGTGTTTTGCCTTAAAGTTCTTTACCTTATTTGCCCCCAGGTCGGCTGTTGAGCTGCAGCCTTACCCAGCAGCTCTCCTCTGTACCAAAAAGATAGGGTGCAAAATGCTCGATGGTTGCGTGCTGTCCCTGCGTTGTATCTGTCTGAGCACAGTCTCTTTCCTGCTGCAGATAATGGAACATGGACTCAGCTGTGGCTTGTCTCTGATTACCATGAGCACGGATCTCTCTTTGACTACCTGAATCGATACACAGTGACTATCGAGGGGATGATCAAGCTCGCCCTGTCCGCTGCTAGCGGGCTGGCCCATCTACACATGGAGATTGTGGGTACTCAGGGTAAGAGCAAAGTTTGAAAAGGTGCTGGGAACTCTTGAGAGGACAATAAAGCAGAACTGACGAGGGGGACTGATATGCTGCACAGAAAGCACCGGCTGAGTCAGCTCGGATTCATCTAGTCAGTATTGACCAGAAATAGACTGATTGCTTTGGCTGGCTGCAAAGTGGGTTAGCCTTGCGCTAGCTCCTGGGAGTTAGATCAGCATTTCGCATCCCCATCCTAAAATTGGTGCTACTTGGGCGGGATGTTAGCGCAGGCAGCAGCAGAATTATAAACTCCTTACGTCCACATCAACGTGTCTCATGCCTGGGACGATGGAGTTTATGTCCCTCTTGAGGCCTCTGGATGCTACTGCATCAGCAGTGCCTCGGAAGCGTAAGTGGAGCCTTTGCATACCATAGGCTGTCAGCACTGCTCTGTTCTGCAGCGCTGAAGCGTATCCAAACAGGAAAATGTGTTGCAACACTGAGAGTTTAACTAACGCCCTGAAATCCGGTACTGCCTCTGCGCCAGTTTGACTAACAGATTTCACCAGACCTTGACCCCTGCTTCTTTTTATTTTGCTCTGTTAGGAAAACCTGGGATTGCTCACAGGGACTTGAAATCCAAGAACATCTTGGTGAAGAAGAATGGCACGTGTGCCATCGCTGACCTTGGTCTGGCCGTCCGGCATGATTCGGTTACGGATACGATTGATATTGCACCGAATCAAAGGGTTGGAACCAAACGGTAGGAGAACGGTGTTCTTGGCCAGTGTTTGAAGGCATCGGAGTGTGACTAGCAAATGCCTGAGCTGCTGGTTTAGCACTGGTGAAATTCTCTTTCTTAAGCATTTCCAAGTGTCTTGCAGAGTGTCAGCCTTGTGCCCAGATTGATGTCGAAGGGACGTCAGTACCTCCGTCTCCAGGTGCCATCAAGCTGAGAGGCGTAGGCCAGCTACGTAACTCAGCTCAGGGAGTTCATATAATACTTGACAACAAGCTTGGCATTCTCAAAAGCCTTTTGGGGCCTGCTGTCTGGAGCCTGATGTGCTTTTAGACGTTTTTACCTCTTTCCCAACTTGCTATTCTTTTTGAAAATTTTTGTTCAGTCTATTAGACCACGGGACCCATTTCGGTTCTGATTAAGGCTGTGCAGAGCAGAGTTTTGTCTGCTGAGAAGTGCTGTGTGGGAAAACCTGCCATTTACTATCTTCCAGAGAATCCCCTCTCAAAATTAACATGCCGTTCCTTTTCTGTTCTGCAGATACATGGCCCCTGAAGTCTTGGATGAAACCATTAACATGAAGCATTTTGATTCATTTAAATGTGCCGATATCTATGCCTTGGGCTTGGTCTACTGGGAGATTGCTCGAAGGTGCAACGCAGGAGGTAACACCCTTGTGTGCCCATGCCATCGGCTTGGCTTGCTCCTGGGTTTCCGAGCCTCAATGGTTTCCGTGGATCAGGTGTTTGTGAGGACCCTGGAGAACGGGGCTGCGGGAAGATATGTCCGTGTGTTGCTACTGAGGGAGTTAACAGAAGTGACCCGTGACTGCTGTTAAGACTGGCCCATGTGGGGAAGTGGGGATTAGTGCTCTGACTGGTGGCTGATGTTCCTTTGGATGGATTTTAAGGAAGTGGTGGTGCCAGTTTGGTGGGTGACTTTCTTCTCCCGAATCAGTGTAAATGAGTATCTCGGCACATCCAGCTGCAGGCAGGAGTGCAGCACCGTGGTGCATGTGACAGTCCTTCTGCCTTCGGCTCAGTCGAGATTCAGTGACCCTGCCTCTGTGCTGGGAGGTGTTGACTGCAGCATGCTGACTCTGTTCCAGTTTGGGCAGCTGCATTTTATTTCTCTGAATTTTTCTTGTAAAGTCAAATCCCAGATTCTTCATTTCTGTTCTAAATAACTGCAAAGTGTTGACGCATCTCAGCAATGAGTCATGTAGTCCAAACCAGTATCAGTCTGCCTTCAGTGAGCACTGTGGTGATGATCCATTCTCCCAGGAATTGCATTTCCCCTTGCCTGCCTTTCAGGTATCCATGAAGAGTATCAGCTTCCGTACTATGACCTTGTGCCCTCTGATCCTTCTATTGAGGAGATGCGGAAGGTCGTATGTGATCAGAAATTACGGCCTAATATCCCGAACTGGTGGCAAAGCTACGAGGTAAGGTCTGCTTTCATCTTCACAGCCCCTTCCCCCTCGATGAGGTGAGTAAAGAGTAAGTACTATAAGTTGAGCTCCAATTTTAGGAGGTGTGGAGGTCTGTATCGGTGTCCAGCCGGGCAGCAGCAGCTGCCTGGCAGACCGACTTGGGGTCGGGGGAGAGGAGAGCACTGACATCTGCCGTTGTTTCTTGCCTAGGCACTACGGGTGATGGGTAAGATGATGCGAGAGTGCTGGTACGCCAACGGAGCGGCTCGACTCACCGCCCTCCGCATTAAGAAAACCCTCTCACAGCTCAGTGTCCAGGAAGATGTGAAAATCTAGGCTCTGAGCCCCAGCAGGAGGAAACTGCACAAAAGCTGCCATGCTAGAGTAGACGTGTGATGGAGGCCTACCTCGTGTTTCTGCCCAATCTACTGCTACCAACCAGACAGCGTGACCTACAGGCTGCTAGGTGGGGTGACGGAGCCTATTGAATTGCTCTCTTCCCTGCTTGGGTATGAAACAATCAGAAACCTTTTATGATCACCTCCTGACAGCGTGAAGACTTGAGAGGGACTTAACCTGAGGGATCTCAGCCATGATCGTAACTCTTGTTTCTTTAATGGAAATCCCTGTAAAGTTCAGTGCGCGCGGTGCACCCGTTGGCAGTGTTTGAGGCCGGGGTGCTAGGTGCTGGGAGTGGGAAGGGAAAGGGAAGGTTTTCTTGCCGTACTCTGAGGATTTTTCCAGGGACTGGCACGTTAATGCAGAAAAAGCATTTGCAAAACAAATGGTGCTCCCTTCTGAGAGGCTGAGCCTGAACAGTTTATCAGCTTCATAAAACCATTTCCCTCCTTTTTCTTAAGCTTGAAAAATTCTAAGTCAAAAACAAATCTGACTGGCTGTCAGTGTGCGCAATGGTGTATGCATGCGCAAGGTGCGCGTGTCCCCTGTGCCTGTTCATCTCCTTCCGTAGACGTGCAGTGTCTGCCCGTAGGGTGGCTCATCTCTGTTCGTGCTTTCTGTGCATGTGCAAATCTAGAGTGTCCTTTTTTTGAGCTGTGCGCGCTGGTGCTCTCCTTGTTGAGTAGTGAGCATTGTCTAGCTTGGACAGGCTGCTTAAAACCAGATCCTTAGCTCTCCGATGGGTGCTGCGGCCTTGCTGTCCGTATGCCGGCTGCGGGAACTTCCCATCAGGTTGCCTCACTGCCACCCCCTCCCTTTTTTTAAGACAAAACAAATGAGGAACTGATTTCACTCCTGGAATCCAGGCTTTTTGTCTTGAGCCCCTGGGGTTTGTAGTTCTTGGTAGGGTGGAAAGAGAGACCTGGGGCGGGAGGAGATGCCACGGAGCTGAGATGCATGTCAGAGATAGAGCAGGCACTGCGCCCGGCTGGAAGGAGACCAGGCCATGGGGAAATGCAGGAGACCGTTCTCGTAGGAACGCGATTCCTGAGTCCACCACCCAGGCATCCTCGCAGGCGCGCTGGGCGGCGTGGGGCAGACTTCTCGGGGCCTGAGCCGCAGGGGGCCGGGTGCCTGGGTGTGCTCTGCACCTCCCGAGAGGCACTCGGCGCTTGGCAGGATTGACAGCGGGGTGTGGGTTTGGAAATCGATGTCCATCTTTTTAATATACATATATAAATATCTCATAATCTGGAAGTGGCTGTGTATAACTTGTGGGGTGGGGGGAACTGCATGAATTTTCTTTTGATTAAATGCCGAATCAGGGTGAAGTAGAGTTGGTTTGACTGTTGTCTACAGCTGGGCCTAGCAAAAATGGAAGTAGCCGAGGGCTGAGTCTGTCGTGCTGATCGCAGCACTAAAGGCAGTCTGGGAAGTGCCGGTAGTTTGGTGGTTAGGTCAGTATCTACGGGATATAACTCTGAAGCCATAACTTTTAACTGGAGTGGTTTTGATTATTTTTTTTTTTTAATTATTATTATTTTATGGGAGGGTCTGGATTTTAACTTTTTTTAATATTGTTAATTCTTTATAAGAGAAGAAAAACAATCTATAATTATTACCTCTTGACCTGTTTGTTTGTAAAGAAGGTGGTTAGGTCAGTATCTACGGGATATAACTCTGAAGCCATAACTTTTAACTGGAGTGGTTTTGATTATTTTTTTTTTTTAATTATTATTATTTTATGGGAGGGTCTGGATTTTAACTTTTTTTAATATTGTTAATTCTTTATAAGAGAAGAAAAACAATCTATAATTATTACCTCTTGACCTGTTTGTTTGTAAAGAAATCACTGCAAAAAAAAAAAAAAAAAAAAAACAAAAGAAAAAAAAAAAAGAAAAAAACCAAATGCACACAGCTCGATTTACACTGGAACTGTTTCTACTCAAACCTTGCGCCTGCTCTGTAAGGTGAGGTTTCATCTCTGCTCCGGCCACCGGGGTTAACTTTTTTTTTTAAAAACACTCTGTTCTTGCTGTCTGTGTATCTGTCCGTGTGTCCGTCTTCCCCCAGACTCCCTATCTTGTCTGTGACTTCGTGTAAAGTGAGGAGTGTGTGTTTTGCATCGTGTTTGGAGCCATTTTGCATCCTCCCGTGGAGTTTAGCGGCCGGGCGGTGCAGAGCTGTCGTGGGAGGGCCGGCAGACTTCGGGCTGGTTCATGGAGCAGTGTGGAGTGTACGCTTTGTGAATGTACAGCTTCCCTTTCCGATTTGTTCTGACTCGTATCTCAGCCAGAGGTTACCGTGTGTCTCCGGTACCGTACGTCCCTTAACCAAACCCTTCTGCATTTAGAAACCGAGGTGGTGGGCACTTCACAGATACCCTAAAGACTCTGCAGCTGCTGTAACAGGACCCTGGCGATGGCCCATCCCGGCGGGTTGGGGAGGAAGTCTTAGCGACTGTGAAATAAACTGCCGTAGGAAAGCCCATCACGCCGGTAGGTACGTCTGCCGCGCGCTCCTCCGTGAGCACTGCGGGCTCTCGTTTCCGAGTACGAGTCTCCCGTCCCTGTTAACTGTGCAGGCTGCTTCTCGAGGACACTAAATCAGCTACGTAACTTGCACTGACTCACTCACCCACCCCTCCAACTGTAGCCACACATGCATCTGCCTCAGCGCTAAACCAAACAGCAGACAGCGGAGCGGTTTCAGACCAGATAAGGTTAGAAGGGGTGAGGGCAGGACGACAGGGTATCCCCTATAAGCAGGATTGCAGAAGAAGCCTTGTTTGTAGAGAGATGCCATCACGAGATGGTCAAAACCGAGGAGGATCCGAGATGGGAACGCTGACTATGTAGCATTTATACAGCACTTTTCATGCAAACATGTGCCAGGGAGGTGCAGTGCTTACTTAGCTGACTGGTAGCAAACATAGGAATCGCTGCCCGGCTCTGAAACGTGCCCGGCTCAGAGGTGGCTGCAGCAGCTGTGGAAAAAATGCAGCACTACAGACAGTTCAGGACAAGAGACGGACGCCGCAGCAGCTCAAAATGAGGAGGGGAGACGTCAGATACTCGAGGGCAAATCGTGCTGGGGAGAGGCAGAGGTACGGAGCTTGTGCTTCTCGTCTGTGGCGCAGGGTTAATCAGTGGTACGCTGGCTTCAGAACAGATCTCTTGGTACTTATCTGCCCCCTTTATTTGTTTGGTTTTGTATATTTTATTAGAAATGGACTGTAAAATAGCCACTTAGACACTTTACCTCTTCAGTATGCAAATGTAAATACAATGTAATATAGGAAATCTTTTGTTTAATATAAAACAAGGCTGTCGATTTCTGCTGTACATTATTAAAAGTTTGTTTTATTCACGTGAGGTGTTGGAGTCTCTCGCGGTTTGCTGTGAAGGGTTTGCCATGGCGTAGAGGGGTAGGAACCGAGCAGCGAAGACTGGCAGAGCTTATAGTCCCGCAGCCCCCAGAGAAGTGTCTGGAGGGGCTTGTTCACCCGCAGCTAAAATAATCTCCCTGGGAATCCTGCTCAGCAAATCTTAAATGTTGAATATTCCCCTTATTAGTGGAGATGCAGTTTCCATCGTCCGCTGTGCGCTCAGGAGATGCCTGGATCGCAGCAGAGGTGAGACGAGGATGTGGCGGAGTGGGATTTCCAACCCACGCAGGGATGAGCAGCTGAAATCAGGTCTCCCTCTCTGGGGGTCGGTAGTTGGAAGCAGGAGGGGGACCCACAGCTTCAAAGAAGGATAAATTTTAGTCCAAACCGCCTGGCATCCCTCTGAAATCCTGTTTGCTCAGAGGGCAACCGGTGCTGTGCAAACAGCCCCCACTAATTCTCCCTAATTAGAGCCTCTCGTGAACGAGCATGTTGTGAGCGGATCAAGGGGAAAATCCGCTGGGACCTGGGGTCCCCCGTGGGCTCAGACTAACAGCGTTGGTGGGGAGGGGGAGCCGCCATCTGGGCTTGTCCCTCCTCGGCTTCCAGCTTTGTCTGCGGCTGCTGCCATGGCCCCCAAGAAACTCTGACCCCGTCCTGGAAATCGAGGCAGCGGGTGACTTAAGAGTACGCTTTTGGGTTTTTTAAAGCAAAGTTTGTCTTTACTCCTCTTTTAGGAAATGTGATGGGAAAACAGGTCTGGGATGGCTTCAGCCAAGGGGCCAGGTCACTGCCTTGGGCTGCCAGATTTTGGGAACAGTTTTTTGCTCCCTGATAAAGGGTTGTGGTTTGGTGCCCTGGGGTGGGTGGTGGGCTCAATCCTGTCCTTTCCCGAGCACTTCCAAACTGGAGCAGCTCAGCTCTGGGAGCAAGCTTGCCTCCTGGTAACCCCTGGACAGCCTGTGGGCGGGTGGCTTGGGTGTAACGCCAGCAGGATTGTTACAAACTGATTTTTTTGGCAAATTTTAAATAAACATCTGGTCATACCCCTCACTTCCAGCTGGAAAATTTCTGCTACCTCCCCGTGTGGCGCAGCAAGGGGCTGCCCGGAGCCGTGCGACGTGTCCGCAGCAGACACCGCGTCTGCCTCCGGGAATTGTTCTTTCCTCCGTGTCCCCGTCCTCAGCATGGGCAAAGCTGTTGCAGGAACAGTTTAA